GCTCCATAGGTGCTGTGCCACGATCAACTGTAGCTTTGCATTAAACCGGGTATTATGGGAACGAAGGGACTATTTAAGATTTTCAGACCAAAGCAAAAGGTGTTTTATGATCTGCCAGAGGCGATGACGGCTAACCTGGTAATCATGGCCAGCCAGTTAAAGCTGGTGACGGAGGAAACAACGGAAGCAGCGCTTACATTAAGCATGGATACCATTGCCCGGCTGGAGCAACAAAACAGTGATCTGTCGCGCCGCATTTTTACAGAACTGGGCGCCAATTTCATCACACCTTTCGACCGTGAAGACATCTACCATCTGGCCAGTGTGCTCAAGGAAATAACCAGCTATATATACGGTTGCAGCAAGCGGATCCGCAAGTATGGTTTTGTACAAACGATCAATGGCTATAGCCTGATGTCCGGCCTTATTGTTGAAAGCTGTACCCATCTGCACCAGGCGGTAACCGGGCTTAGAAAGTTCAACCACCAGGCACCTATTACCAATGCACTTCAAACCATCCGGAAAATAGAACGGCAGGCAGACGATATGTATTATGAGTATATTGAAGACCTCTTCACCAAAGGCCTTCCAACCAATGAGCTGATCAAAGCGGCGGAGATCTACCAGCAACTCGAAGACATTACCGACAAGTGTTACGATGCCAGCAAAAAGATTAAGGTCATACTGGTAAAGACGGCGTAAACGGATTGCATAGAAGCAGCCCTTTAAAATTCATGCAAGCAACAAAGCTGCGTTCGTTTCAGTCCTCACCATGCGCCGGCTTTTTCTGGAAACTATACATCAGGTAAAACAAGGCCGGCAATATAAAAATACTGCCCAACAACAGGGCCCAGCCAAGGGCCGCAATTGTCTTATCATGACCATGATGCTCCATTAAAGAAAGATAGCCGCCGTCTTTGAGCAATACAATATTCGGGAAGTGATTATAGGTGGTTGTCAGCAGGATCATCGTCACCTGGAAACCAGCCAGCAGACGGATCACTTTTGTTTTTCCCTGCCTTATCCAATACCACATCAACACGAGCGACAAGGTGGCGGCAACAACAGCAACCACACCTATAGGACTCCCAAACATCCAGGTAAACAGCGGAATCTTTTCAATCAGAGAAACGACAAATACAATGATCCCGCAAATAACAGCAGCAATATTCATAGAACGCGCCTTGATAAT